TAAAAGTATTAAGATAAGATAATAAAAAAATGAATATTTTACTAGATATTTTATGGTTTATGTAAAATTGAACAATTATTTCAACCCTTATAACTCGGAAAGTACTTGATGAAAAAATACTTTATTATAGTGTTTTGGAAAGCTCTCGACATAAGCTATACGAATATGCAATAAAAAGTAGGTGGTTCCATTTAAGAAATTAAAAGTGTCCTTGACCTGACCTTAACGATGCCATCCAAGGTCAAACCAATGACACCATCTTATGTTTCTTTCAAAACCATACAATTTTTGTCGAAAACGTTTTCCTCTAAAATGCTTAGTTTTTGAAAGAAAAGAGGTGTACGGGTGATCTAGGATATACTGATACATGACATGAAATCGTGTATCATCAAAGCGCATGCGCCAAAAAGGATACCTTATATAAATTTGTACATGAAATCGTAGACGTCTTATACATAAGAAGTTAGCAATCTAGTAATATATAGACATCTGTGTTAAAAATCCATACATTTTTGTACTAGGAAACAAAAATTTTTGTAAAATTTTTGTACCAGTTAAAAAAAAATTGTTTCTCAAAATCTATCTTCAACATCCGTTATTTTAAAATATTTTTTGTAAAGTATTGTTTGTAATTTAAATTTGTGTTTTTGCTTTTTAAAAAATATGTTCAAGCTTTTATTTGAGTATTATTTCAACTTGATACGATCATTTTTCGCTGATTTGTTGTTATTGAAAGATGTCAAAAAATTGTGCTAAAATTTAGTGGTCCGTATTTTTTACGTGTGAATGTAGATATGTGGATAATATTTGTATATCTAATAGATATTTCTGGCTACTTAGTGGATATAGATATGTGAATGTTATATATACATCTACTAGTTATCTATAAAGGATATGGACTTTCTATAGACATTTAGACATTTATTAAATATCTATTAGATAAATTTTTTCGTGTGGGCTGTAATATTCAATTTTATTGCATTTATATAATATTGATGAATATTGAAGTGTTTTTGCGCTGAGATTAAATCAATTATTAAAAGCTATCCTATTTAAACAAGCCATATTTTGAGTCCTTTTTTATTGATAAAAGTGCCTCTAAAAATTGTTCACAGCCAATCAGAAGACTTTTATAAGCCACTTTTAGAGATACTTTTATCAACAAAAGAGAACTTAGAATAGGGCAAATCAGAGCCATAGCTGCAGAACTTACTCGATTCCTATTGCCAATCTGCAAGCAGATTTTCTCGGCAGGCTCTGTTCAATTTCTGCTGCCAATGTACTGGTAGATTATTTAAATAGATTCTGCTCGATTTGTGCCGCCAATCTGCTGTCTAATTATGTTAACAGACTTTGTCGGCAAAACATAAGTTAAATGTGAACATAACTGATGTCAATCTGCTGACATATTTTGATCTTATCTGCTACCAATCTGCCAACATGCTGTTAACATTTTATTTATAGGGTTTAATACATTTGTAATTTTGCGTATTTTTCTAGATGTTTAGGTGTTTTCATTTAAATGTAACACTTTGTGTATGTAGAGGCTATCCCATTTTAAATATCTCATTAATATTTCTCGAAAACAAAAGTTTCCATCGAAAAATGTATACAATTTATACATTAATAATATTTAAATTTATACAAAAATTTTGTGATTTCGAAGGGGACATAAGATAATGCTATTGATTTGATTTTGGATGAAATTTTTGAGGTTATTTTAAGACTATTCCTATTCATTTAAATGAAATTAGCTTAATTCAAATATATGCAGGGTGGCTGAAAACTTTTCACCTTCCCAAAGTGTGAAGATAGATTGGTTCAAATTAAGAAAGAAGATTCTCTACTGTTTTGCGATATTTGCAATAATTAACGAAAAATTAATTAAAGAAAATCGGCGACGCAGTGATTGGGGAGGGGAGGAGCGATGAATATATATAGGAGCGCGGCGAGGACTCCTCCCTTTCCTAACCCTCACCGTTTTGCCGCGCGCCGCCATTATGTTACAGTGAGACCGCTTTCGCCGCCGCGCGCTTCTAGCCATGCGCATTGGCCGATCTTCTTTAATTGATTTTTCGTTAATTATTGCAAATATCACAAAACAGTAGAAGACCTTCCTTCTTAATTTGAGCCAATCTATATTCACACTTCGGAAAAGCGAAAAGTTTTCAGCCACCCTGTACAAATCAATTCTTCACAATATCCCAAAAACTTATAAGACTAGCCAACAATTGAATAGAGATATTTTGTACTTTATGTTGATATAATTTTACATAAACTATGAAATATTTTGTAAAATATTCATTTTTCAATTTTCAATATTTTATCTTAATATTTAATCAATGAGAGGAACTAATTGATGTAAAGAAAATATATAACTGTTTAAAAAAAAATATGTAGCTACTCGTTGCAAATTTATATTTTTTCTTAAAAGTAATTGTTTTTTTTTTCATCAATTAAGTTCTTTCTTTTTGTACAAAAGATGAACATTTATCTATTAGTTATTATTTTACAAAATATTTCATAGTTTATGTAAAATTATGTCAAGAGTTAATATATAAAATCTCTATTCAACTTTTTCTGGCTATTTTATCCTTATAACTTTTTACGCGGAATATTGTGAGGAATCGATTAAGATATCGACATAAACAAATTAAGAATAAATTAGTTTCATTTAATAAAATAGAAATGACCTTGAAATAATTTCATCACCTTCATCCAAGCTCAAATCACATTACTTTATATCCTTCTCGAAATCACAAAACTTTTACAAAATATTTTTCAATAGAAATCTTAGAAATCCTAGAAAAATCAAGAAACAAATACGTTATAATGGGATATTCTATATATATATATATATATATATATATATATATATATATATATATATACAGGGTGGGGAAAAAGTATGGAAGCAAACAATTATTTCCGAAACTATTCATTTTTCGACAAAATGTCTTAGACATAATTTTTATGGTATGAAAAGATGTATTATGTGGCATAGACGGCATGACCTTGAAATGACCCTTACGAGCTGCATACAAATAACGTAAAAAATTTCAAATGGAAGTCGTCAATTTTTGTTACAGATTCTTGTAGCTGATGTTGAAACGTTTACAAAACACTGCATATGAGCCCCATTCCCTTAAAAACACTCCCAGTTACGAAACAATTGTAATAATTCGTATTTCCTACTTTTGGCTTATCCTTTACGGAACCTGTTTCATTAAATCGTTGAATTGTCTTAGCAACGGTAGATCTTACTATGCCCGGTTGTCCGATTCGAAAAGTTTCATTAAACAAAACTGTAACTTCATCGTGAGTTCTTTCATTCTCACCCCAACCACGCATCATCAACAGCGATATTCGCTCTCGTTCTGTTAATCGGGCCATCGTGAAAATAACATTTGAAATTACAGAAATGAAAATCAGTAACAATTCCTATGATAAAAAACGACAAAAATAGCAAATTTTCAAAATACAATATCCGAAACTTGTATGCCAATTGACACTACTTTTTTAAGGATAAAATAAATGATAATAATAAATAAGGTAGCGATGATCAAGAAATCAAAAAAATTCTATGAATACTCATAGACAGTGTATCATATGACAACAGGTACAATTATATGTTATTAGTGGACGCAACTGAACGTCATGATGCGAAATCAGTAAGCAATGTCAATGTGCATACAAATTGTTTGTATCACAATTGTTTCGTAACTGGGAGTGTTTTTAAGGGAATGGGGCTCATATGCAGTGTTTTGTAAACGTTTCGACATCAGCTACAAGAATCTGTAACAAAAACTGACGAGTTCCATTTGAAATTTTTTACGTTATTTGTATGCAGCTCGTAAGGGTCATTTCAAGGTCATGCCGTCTATGCCACATAATACATCTTTTCATACCATAAAAATTATGTCTAAGACATTTTGTCGAAAAATGAATAGTTTCGGAAATAATTGTTTGCTTCCATACTTTTTCCCCACCCTGTGTGTGTGTGTGTGTGTGTGTGTGTGTGTGTGTGTGTGTGTGTGTGTGTGTGTGTGTGTGTGTGTGTGTGTGTGTGTGTGTGTACACTAGCAGTCATCGATTCGTTCTCTGAGAAAAGGAGAATGTATAGAAGTATATCCATTGCGCAATGATTGATTAGTATGATTTTATCGCTTCGATTGAAATATCTTACATTGGGTCGATAAAATCGGTAAAGAATAACACTCATATGATTTATCTTACATACAAAAATGCATCAAATTATAATTGAAATTAAAATCACCTTGAATTTAAAAAAAAATGTGATTCTAAAATATAACACTTTATTTTCATATACTATTTTCTTTTGTTAATAATTATAAATTCACAATCATATTAATAAAATAATATATGAATATAAATATTACCGCACCATACATACACACATAACATTATAGAAATAAGAAAGAATAAGTGAAAATTATCTTTCTAAAATTATAATCTAAAAAGTATTTCTTTTATCCTTTCTAACTGCTTATCTCTTTATTATCTGCTTTATCTCTTTATTATCCATTTCTGTAATGTTATGTATGTGTGTGCGTAAAATATTAATATTCATATATTTTATTATATTAATATAATTGTAAATTTATAACTATTAATAAAAGAAAATAATATATGAAAATAAAGTTATATTTTAGAATCATATTTTTTTATTTAAAATTATTTTTTAATTTCATTTATAATTTGATATTTTTTTCAAATGTCGAGATAAAGTATGCGTGTGTTATTCTTTATCGACCCAATGTGAGATATTTTGATCAAGTCCATAAAATTGTACTAATTGATCGCGCTGATGGCGAAATGGGTATACTTCTATACACTCCCCACCTCAAGGAATGAATCGATGCTTAGTAGTGTACACACATGAAAGCAAACACATGAATTAATGAATTATCTGTGCAAGTAAGCTTACGATGATCTATTTATTAGTGCAAATGTTAAAATATATTCTATTTTTGCTACAGCTCTCAGACTGGGATCGTTTCGCAGCAGAAGAATATGAATTATTGGTCGCAGAAGAAAGTGGCAATGAACAATCGGAACAAATGTAAGTGTTATTTGTACATTTCAGAAACAAATTATCGTAAATTTACAATTAAATTTTGAATCATTTTGTTATATTTTATATGTATATAGGGTGTTTCCGGTATCGTGTAACAAAGAAAAATCATAAGTAGATCACTAAACTGAATTAAAAATCCTATACCATTTTGCAATAAACCACATAAAATTTTGAGATATTAATTAAAACAGATCGGCCAATTCGCGAAAATGAAAGTTACACGATACTGTAAACACACTGTATTTGTATATACATGTATATATATATATATATATATATATATATATATATATATATATATATATACAACGTGGCCCATTTTAATCGACGCACCTGAATATCTCCGTTGGTAAGCCGAATACAAAAAAATTGTTCAGACAAAAGTTGTATGGTTTCAAGGGAGACATAAGATGATGTCATTAGTTTGATCTTGAAGAGCCACCTGAAGGTCACGTGAAGGTCAGCTCCAACTTTTTAAATGGGACATCCTATATGCTTTCGCATATTCTTGTAGCTCATCTGAAGAGCTTTCCAACACTATAATTAAGTTAGTTTTCATTAAATACTTTCCAAGTTATGAGGCTTGAAATCATTTTTTAATTTTACATAAACCGTAAAATATCTTGTAAAATATTCATTTTTCGATTATTTTACCTTAATACTTTTATGTACAAAATAATGAGAAGAATCAATTGGTGTAAAGAAAACACATAATTGTTTCGAACAAAAAAATGTAATTTGCAATTAACAATTACATATTTTTTCTTAAAAACAACTGTGTGTTTTCTTTACACCAATTTATTCCTCTCATTATTTTGTACATAAAATATTAAGGTAGAATAATCGAAAAATGAATATTTTACTATACATTTTACGGTTTATGTAAAATTAAGAAATAATTTCAAACCTCATAACTCGAAAAGTATTTAATAAAAACTAACTTAATTATAGTGTTTTGGAAACCTCTCGAGATGAACTATAAGAATATGCAAAAGCATATAGGGTATCCCATTTAAAAAGTTGGAGCCGACTTTCACGTGACCTTCACGTGGCTCTTCAAGATCAAACTAATGACACCATCTTATGTCCCCCTTGAAACCATACAACTTTTGTCTGAACAATTTTTTTGTATTCGGCTTACCAACGGAGATATTCAGGTGCGTCGATTAAAATGGGCCACGGTGTATATACAGGGTGTCAGGGAATTTTTGACCTTAACGAAGTAAGAAGGTAAATTGATTCAAATTAAGAAGGAAGAATCTCTATTGTTTTGTGATTGTCGCAATAATTAACGAAAAATTAAATAAAGAAGAACGGCCAATGCGCGTGGCTAGAAGCACACAATGGCGAAGGCGGTCTGACTGTAACATAATGGCGGCGCGCGGCGAAGCGGTGATTGAAGAAGGGAGGAGCGATGAGTGTGTAAGCGCATAGCGAAGACTCCTTCCCTCCCCAATCACCGCTTCGCCGCGCGCCGCCATTATGTTACACTCAGACCGCCTTCGTCATCGTGTGCTTCTAGCCATGCGCATTGACCAATCTTCTTTATTTAATTTTTCGTTAATTATTCCGACAATCACAAAACAATAGAGGTTCTTCCTTCTTAATTTGAATCAATTTACCTTCTTACTTCGTTAAGGTCAAAAATTCCCTGCCACCCTATATATATATATATATACAGGGTGAACAAACATTTGTCTTTAAAATATCAAATTCTTAAATGAATTCTAAGACGATTTTTCCTCTTGCAAAATTTTGCCTGGAGCTTAGTTTTTAAACTATAAAGAAAAATAGTTAACTAATTACGGAACGAGTACAAGAGACAGAGACGGCGTGATGTAAGCAATTACGGAAGGCGCTGGCCGCGGTCAGCTGATTGCTATACGCGATGAGTGTAACAATCAGTGTGTGAGAATGTGCACCTCTTGTACTCGTTCCTTTAAAGTTTAAGAACTAAGCTCTGGGCAAAATTTTACAAGAGAGGAAAAATCGTCTTAGAATTCATTCAAGAATTTGATATTTTAAAGATAAATGTTTGTTCAGAATCACCCTGTATATACAGACACACATACATGTATATATGTATATGGCACGATTCCCATAGCTTTGATGCCATAATGTAAAAGTAAATTCCGATAGTATTTTTAGTGGAGAATATTGGAAAAATATTTAAAAAATTCTACACCCCCGACTAAATATTATTAGTAAACAAAATTCAATCTATATATATCTAACCTTGATCCTTGTTGAGAGAACTTTATTTTGGCTTACAAAGTACTTGCGTGGATACAGTGGGTTTCGCCCCTTCCCCCTACGGGGGGGGGGCTCCACTTCTAGAAAATATAATTCAAACCTATTCTGATTTATAAAATTTGACTTGTCTTGAAAAATACATGAACAACAATCTTTATTCAAGTCATAAAAAATATAATAATTTTCAAAGTCGTAAAAAATACCAACAACATAAAAGCCAATCATTATTCCGTCTGATTTCAATATGGTATTATCAAAAAGGTAAACAATGTCAAACGAAATCGTATGTCTATAACTTCTTCTTCTCCTTTTTTCTTCGATGATTCAGCTCGTATCGAGCCAGGGTCTCCCTCAACCTCGCCTTCCAGATATACCAGTTTACAGCGTACGTTCTCTAATTCCTTGCGTTCAACAGCCCCGCGCGTCCGTCGAGACTCCGTCCATTTCGCTTTGGACTTTCCTCTAGATCGTTGACCTATAGGTCTTACATCCATAAATCTCTTTAGCATGCTTGTGTCACTCATACGTTACAAGCTCGGTCCATTGTAAACGCATAAATTTTATATGCGTGGACAGGGGCTTTGTACCTTTGGTATACTTCGTAATTATAGAGTATTCTTCATATGTTATTTTCTTTAACCGGTCCATATATTCTTCTTAATATCTCTCAAAGGTATCATCAGGATATCGTCTTCTGTTTTCTGTGTCAAAGCCCACGCTTCTGACCCATATGTAACAACGCTACGTATCAAAGTCTTATATAACAGGATCTTTATGTGAATATTTCTTGATTTCATTATTGGCAACAAGGAAAAATAGGCTCTGTTCACCGCTTTGATTCTCTCATTCACGTCCTCTGTCTCGGCATTTTTTGATGTCAGAACGGATCTCAGATACTTAAACTCTTTTACTTTCTCGAAGTTGTTTATTGCTATCATTTGTGCAGCTTTCTGATTTTCTGTCCTGAAACATAATCTTCGTTTTGTTTTCATTTATCCGTAATCCTATATCTATCACTCTTTCTAGCGAACATTTCTTCTAGGTACGGCGCTCTAGGTTGCGCTCTGGCTAGGTAATTTATATCGTCGGCATACGCCACTAACTGCTTCAATTTGTATAGTAAATTGCCATTCACGTTTATTTTTATCTTTCTTATTACACTTTCCATCGCTAGATTGAACAACATCGGCGCTAAGCTTCTCTTTATTTTAGTCCTTTGTTAGTTTGAAATACTTCTCCGAGTTCTCTCTGGATCCTGATTGCACTTCTTGTATTGCACATTCGACGTTCTGGTAAGCCTTACTAGTTTCGATAAAATCCCCAGTTCTATCATTGTTCTGTAGTGCGTTTCTATCAGTGTTATCATATCTAAAGTCAATGAAGAGCTGGTACATGTCAATATTATATTCTCAGCGTTTTCACAGTATTTGCCTAACCGTGAACAACTAGTCCATCGTTGATTTTTTAGGGAAGCCCATTTGGTATTCCCCAATAATCTTCTCGGCATAGGATTCCAAGCGATTTTTAATCACCGTGGTGAAAACTTTATATGTTGTGTTTAATAATAATAATGATATTCCTCTATAGTTTTTATAATTTGTTTCCTTTCTTATGTATAAGGCAGATTATTGATTCTTCCCATTCTTTTGGAATTGTCTCTTCTTTCCATATCTTCCCTATTACTCTATGCAGTGTCACGGTTATTGCTTGTTCTCCACTCTTGCAGAGTTCGACTGGGATGTTATCAATGCTCGATGGTTTGTTGTTTCTAAGTTTTCACAGCTGTGTGTATTTTTTCCATCGTTGGTAAGTCGCATTCTATACTATCTTGGTCTTTCTGTGGTATATTATAGTTTTAATTGGTCCCCTGGAATGACCCATTGAGCAGTTCTTTAAAATATTTTTTCCATCTATTTCTGATTTCTTCTTTTTCTGCAGTTATTGATCCATCCGCCTTTTTACACATACTGCTTGAAGGTTTAAACCTTTTTTGAAAGAAATTTAAATCTCTGTACACATCTCTTACGTTGTTTTGTATGAATTTATCTTGCATGTGTATTATATAATAAGATGTATCTTAGTCTGTGATTTCTGAATGTTGAGATGTTTTTTACACGTACAGGGTGTTAGCCTGTAGCATAACCCTCAATCTGGAGGACTTTTCCTCACTTCTTTTGTCTTCCCACTTCCAGATGGGATTAATTACCAATCCTTCCGTAGGGGTACAGCAGGCGAAATGAAAGTGAGCAGAAGAGATGTGAGACTTCATTTCCATGGATTTGCCATCCGGTGCACATCACTACTCATTAGTCGATGTTCTGATTGACGTCATAGCACATCACTACTCATTAGTCGATGTTCTGATTGACGTCATAGTCTATATGCAGTGTCATAAAATTACACATTATATTAGCATTAATATTGTTGATTAATAATATTTATTGATCGTAGAATTTTTTAACTATTATTCCCATATTCTCCGCTAAAAATACTATTAGAATTTACTTTTACATTATGGCGCCAATGGGAATCTAATACACACACACACTCACTCACTCACTCACTCACTCACTCACACACACACACACACACACACACACACACACACACAGAGTGAGTCACTTAAGATCGGCCCTCCGAATAACTCCTACAATTTTAATGATAGGAAAAAATGTTTGAAGTAAAAATTATTTGTCATCGACATCATGGGGACATCATGTTATGGGGAACATTTTTTTCCAGGTGAAGGCAGGAAATTTGAAGGTCATTGTCATTTTTTAAATGGAACCATGTATTTTTGAACACCTACAATTGTAAACAATTTTAACGGTATCGAGTATTCCAGGTCGTGGATATGAAAAAAGCTGAAAAATGAAAATTTATCATAAATGTTTCCCAAACAAAATACTCGCGATTTTATTCATTGAATCAAGCTGAAATATTATTATTAATACATAATTATTATTTGACCAGTGGTCTAGATTACTTCATGCTACAGATGTTCAAAATGATTACCGTCCACAACAAGACACTGTCCAAAACAATAAAAGGAATTCTTAATTCAACGAATAAAATCGCGAGTATTTTGTTTGGGAAACATTTACGATAAATTTTAATTTTTCAACTTTTTTCATGTCTATGATTTTGAATACTGAATAATCGTTAAAATTGTCTTCGAAAGGGCTACAATTATATATGTATGTTCAAAAATGCATGTTCCATTTTAAAAAATGACCTTCAAATCTCCTACGCGCCTCCACCTGGAAAACAAAGTTCCCCGTAACATAACGTCCATCTCGATAACAAACAATATTTACTTTAAATATTTTTTTCTTATCACTAAAATTGTAAGAGTTATTTCGGGCGGCCAGTGACTCACTCTGTATATAAATAAATATTTAAAGTAAACATTGTTTGTTATCGAGAGAGACGTCATGTTACGGGGAACTTTTTTTCCCAGGTGGAGATGCGTAGGAGGTTTAAAGGTCATTGTCATTTTTTTAAATAAAACATGCATTTTTGAACACTTATAATTGTAACCCTTTCCAAGACAATTTTATATATGTAGACACAATATGTATATATATATATATATATATGTACACAATATATACACAATATATATTTAATTATTTATTTATTTATTTATTTGATCGTTTTCGAGAACGCTAAAATATCTTGAAAACGATCAAATTTTATAGTATATATATATATATATATATATATATATATATATATATATATATATATACACTATACATTCATTCTTCAAAAAGTCCCGAAACGCTAAAATATCTCGAAAACGATCAACTACAAAATATGTAAGAAACAAAGTTGTAGGATTAAATAAAATATACCTAATGATGATAAGAATTTGACCTTGGATAACTCAAGATCATATGAAAGTCAAGTTGATTTTTTAAAATGAAACTTCCCATTTTTTATTGCATATTCTTATAGCTTATTTCAAGAGCTTTTCAAAACACTAATACACAAACATGATTTTTTGTACATCCAAAGTATGAAGATAGATTGGTTAAAATTAAGAAAGAAAATTTTCTACTGTTTTGTGATCTTCGTAATAATTAGTGCGAAATTAATTAAAGAATATCAGCTAATCTGCGTGAGTAGCGCGCGGCGAGAAGAGTCGTTCCACTTTAAGTTGACACTAGGCATGCGGCTCCAGTGTTATGTTTGGTGAGTGCTCCGCCCACTAGTTACAGTGGGACGGCTTTTCTCGTTGCACGTTTCTACTTACGCAAATTAGCCTATCTTTTTCAATTAATATCTCGAAATTTTATGTGGTTGTTCGCAAAATGGCATAGGACTTTTTGGTTCGGTTTAACGAGATCTACTTACGGTTTTTTGACAGATACGACGGACATCCTGTATATTATATATAAAGTTACATATTATTTATTTACATATTATTTCTGATATCAATTTTTATCCATTGCATGTATTGTAGATAAGTAGATACTTTATATTTCATATCGACTAATAATATATACTTCTCTTTTATCATGATCATAACAATAATGCATTTCTTGCAGGCTGTGTGATGATGAAATGTAACCATCATCTACAGCTCAGTAAGTAAAAAAATAAAAAAACATAATGTAAAAATGCATGCACATAAATAAATTAATATATAAAAATGCATTAAATTTGTAAGCTTATATTTTATCTTTGTGATATATAATTTATACTTATATACAACTTATTTAGTATTATAACTTGCAAATATTATATATTTTCTTATAAATTTTATTTTTTTTATCAAAAGGATATATAAAGTTTCTTATATTATTGTTCGATAATTGAATTTTTATGAAATTGTTAGCACAATGACTTCGTAGTAAAAATAATTTTTTATAAATGTATAAAATTCTTTTGTAATTAAATATCTAAATAATTTTCTAAAAATAAAAAATATATATCTTTAATATTTCGCAATTTTGCTTGTTCATAGATTACATAATATTGCCTCATGGGAGTTATTGCCAAATATGGATGATTCGTTGGATATGATTAAAAATACAAGTTCATTAATGAACACATCGGATGTTTGTGTGCAACAACAACCGAAACATGAAGATAGATATGATAGCGACGATTACGCAGACAGCGACAATTAATTTTTCGACAAATTTATTCATTAATATAATGAAAAAGAAAAAGAAGTCAAGAAGCAACAGAAAGTGTTATATTATAACAGAAAGTGTTATTACAAAACACATTGTTAATGATATGATTCTAAAGACTGCACGTGTTATATATCTATAAAGTTACCAGATTGTGACATGACGTGCCAGATATTTTTTTTCACATTGTTTATATTACAGAATTAGATTTTTAATCAATAATCTTTTTAAAGGAAAGTGCCCATGTAATATGATCGTATGCCCTTTTATCAAGTGATATTTCTTCTATAATATACACAATTGTTTAATAGATTATCAAATACATACTCGACGTCAAGTATATATTTTAACATATCAAATTATGTACATTTGGAGTATATATTAGAGTATATATTATGTATTGAGAAATATATGTCATGTTTAGATATTTTTATGTGCCTCACAATAGTGTATACACAATTTAAAATTATATACTTTTATTAATTTAATATAATGTTACGCCCGCGGCGAGGACTTCGATAGATATCGAAGTCGCGCACGAAGAGGTCGGCCGCTCGCGAGTCGCGCGAAATGAATAAACACTTTTAAGGAACTAAGAACTTTAATACACAACACAGAACACTGAAACGTAACCACAGAACGTTTATATACAATAATGATAATACAGATCGACTCATTACAAATACGCGTCCGCACAGCTTGACAGCTGGGACCAAACTCAAATGACAGACGCTGCTGCCAACAATCTTTTGACAACGCGCTTCTTCTCGTTAATCGGCGCCATCCCGATGAACACGGACATCAGGGCACTGCCCCTTTCTTACTAAATTGTCGTCCCGACAATTAAAGGCAGAAGGACTTTCCAAAATTTCCACGAATTGTCGAATAAAGAACTCCGTTGTGTTCTCTTGTCCTACTCTGAGCTGCTCCTGCAGATTATCGAACGACACATTTCCTTTTGAGCTCCGTTGTGTCCCCTCGTCCTACTCTGAGCTGCAGATTACCGGACGACACATTTCCTTTTACTCAATCGACTTTTTCATAAACGAAGTTTCCAGAGCTTTCCTTGACGAATGGAATTCCCGTTGCATCTTCTCGTCCTACCCTGCGCTGCTGCCACAGGTTAACGGACAATGCATCCTCTTGGGTTACTTCGAATACATTAGCTCCGAGGATACATAACCCGATGCGGGATCTTCGGACAAGAGGGGGATAACCACCGTGGACTCAACATCCACGAAGGACTCCTCAAGTCCCTGCCTCAGCATTTGCCCTACGGTCCACGGGAAAACCAAAACCGTAGGCGAGGCAGAACTTCAAGAAAATTTTCCCTTTCCTTTTTCCAGAGGTTGTCAAATCCATCCTTAGACATTATTCTGTCTTTAAAAGAATAAAAAAAGGCAGCAGTATTTGTAATAAAATCAAATTAACAGTAATAATTATTTACAAAAGTTCGGGCTCCGAAATTTCCTTAATTAAAAACCTGCCTATGATCAAATGGAGCTAACCTGTCAGCATGAACTATTTTATGTTTATGTCTATTAGACTTCCGAATTGCGAAAACTATATCATTAGGTTTCTTCATTATTTGATAAGGACCCTCCCAATTACTTTGTAAGGAGTTTTTTTAGGAGTTCTTCCTAACGATCTTCGAGGATTGAAAAACCAAACATCCTACTTCGAAGAAAATTCGCCTAGCTTTACGATCATAACGAACCTTGGACCGCAAAGATTGGAAATTTATGCGTTGTCTAGCATATTCGTGGATATTCTACATTTTTTCCTTTAAACTCCGGATATAACTCGAAACCCTCGAATCGAAACCCTCCTATCTTCCTGGAGGGGACTTTCTCGCAACAAATCCAAAGGTAATGTTAAGTCACGAGCGAAATACAATTCCGCAGGGGAAACACCCGTGGCCTCATGCTTTGAAGATCGATAAGCCAATAAAAACATAGGAATCCAACTATCCCAATTTTTTTGATTCTCTGCAACAAATTTAGCTAAATAATTTAAAATCGTCTGGTGGTGACGTTCAACTTGTCCATTAGACTGCGGACTGTAAAGCAGTAGTCCTAGTTTTTCTAATTCCTAACTGGCGCGTCACCTCTTGAAAAATCTTCGATTCAAAGTTTTTACCTTGATCTGTATGTATCTCTGAAGGAACTCCATGACGGGAAACTATCTGACTCACAAAAGCCTCCGCAACCGTATTAGCTTTAATATTCTTTAATAGAAGAGCTTCAACCATTTCGTGAAACAATCGATCGTAATCAATAAGTATCGATTTCCACTAGAAGTAGTAGGAAGAGGATCGAGAATATCCATTTGGACCCTTTCAAATGGAGCCCCCATATTATAAACTTGTATTGGAGATTTTCTCTTTTCCAATGGACCCTTTCTCGCTACACAAATTTCACAAAAACGGCACCAATCTTCCACATCATGTTTGCATGTAGCCCAATAGAAACGTTTCCGTATCTTCTCTAATGTTTTATTCACTCCAAAGTGTCCGTCTGAAGCAGAATCGTGAGCTAGCTCTAGTATTCGATTGATGCACCTCCTGGGAACAATAATCTGAAGAACGAAAGATTTCAAATTCCGAGACTCCCATCTTTTAAAAAGAACACCATTTTCTAAAATTAAGGAATCCCAATATATCAGTAAATTTTTGCCGAAACATCCTGCAAAGAAACTTCCTCGTGAAGCGGACGTCTTCCTAATTCCTTTGCTCGAAGAAATAACGAAATTACAGGGTCTTCTAATTGTTTCCTGCGCCAATCCTCCAAGTTCTCCTCCTCCAAAACTATTCGGGCAACTGAATTTTCCTTAAACTCAACTTTAGCACAATAAGCACAGTCCTTTTCCGCACAAGATCGTCTCGACAATCCATCAGCATTTTGATATAGTCGACCTTTTCGATGGATTATCTCAAACTCAAATTGTTGTAATCTCTCAAGCCATCGGGCTAATTGATCCTCTAGATCTTTAAAAGACATTAACCAGCGAAAAGAAACATAATCTGTACGAACCAGGAACTTCTTTCCATATAAATAATGATGAAAAGATTTAAACGATTCCACAATGGCCAAAAGTTCTCGTCGGATCACAGTAATTCTTCTCGGTCTTATTAAGGACTCGGCTATAATACGCAATCACCTTTTCCGAGCCGTCCTGAATCTGAGATAAAACTGCCCCGATTCCATGAAGCATCGGTATCTAAAACGAACTCTCCAAGCTGAATGAAAAAGGAAAGGATCGGAGAGGAGATCAACTTACACTTCAACTGCTGGAATGCTTCCTGACACGCGTGGGTCCATTCAAATTTATACTGATTTTCAGTGAGCAAAAACAAATTTGTTTTGCTATCAAAGAAAAACCTTTTACGAATTTCCTATAGTAGGAACAAAAACCCAGAAAACTTCGAACTTGCTTCTTATTCTGAGGAATAGGCCAATCTTTCACCGCCGAAATTTTCTCGGGGTCGATAGCAACACCTTGTCCAGAAACAACATGTCCCAAATACTTCACTTTTCTACCAAAGAGGAAACACTTTTTAGGATTGATTCTCAGGCCCGCTGAACGAAAGCGAAGAAAAATCTCCCTTAGATTTGATAGCATCTCCTCAAAAGTTTTGCTGAAAACAATATCATCCAAACAGACTAAACAAATTTTAAACAGGATGTTTTGTAACACTTTTTCCATTAAGTGCTCAAAGGTTGCTGGAGCATTACATAAACCGAATGGCATTACTTTGAATTGCCATAATCCCCTGCCATAATTCCCTACGGAAAACGCTGTCTTTTCCCTATCCTTTGGATGAACTTTTACCTGTCAATATCCATTTTTCAGGTCTAGGGTCGAAAACCATGAATTTCCAGATAACTGATCCAAAATATCCTAAATACGTGGAAGAGGATAAGAATCTTTGATGGTTACAGCATTCAACTTCCGATAATCCACACAAAATCTCGATCCATCCTTTTTCTTTACAAGAACTATAGGAGATGTCCATGAGCTTTGCGACTCCTCGATGACATCCTGAGATTTCATTTCTCGAATTATTCGATTCACCTCCTCTTTAAGATGTAAAGAAATCCTGCGAGGAGTCTATTTGATGGGATTAGAATCTTTTAATTTAATAACGTGTTCCAAGATCTCACAATTTCCCGAAGTTAAATCCTCTGAAAATATATCTTGAAATTCTCTCAGAAATTCAGCAAAAAGATCCTTCTGGAAAGAATTTAAGTCTTTAGAATTTTCTTCAAATAAAGTTCTCAATGAACACCGGACTTCTGAAATCATTAGTTTACATGGGAACTCAAGCGAATTTTCTGGATTACCAAAAAAAGGATCGAAAATTTTTTCCAAATTTAGCATTACAAGAAAATCAGCACCCAATATACAATCATTAGAAATATCTGCATCGGAACATCTAAAGAAAACTTCCCTAATTTAACTCAAACAATGATTCTAAAAAGAACCGGAACAATTTGTCCCGTAGGATACTTTATATAGCTTTCCTTAACCTCATATCGCCGTCCAGGCACTCTAACCAGGTTTTTATTCAAAACTGAGATATCGGAGCCCGTGTCAATTTTAAAATTACATATGTCATTATCAACCGAACCTTGGTAACAAAAACAAATTTTCCTTAATTCTACTTAAATTAAAATATTTTTCATTAAAACCTTCCGGGGCATTTATCCTCCCAGTCGAAACCGCTCCGAAAAACTCGACTAATTCTTTTTTTCCTCATAGGAAGGACATTCCGATCGGAAGTGCCCCTCAGCGCCGCATTGCCAACATTCTTTTTTAGAGTTGAATCTGTTTTTTCTGAAATTTATCGGCCTTACTATTGTTATTATTATTCTCAAATCTCCCTTTATTGCTTTCATTTGTTTTTTCCTCCTCATTCTTTTGTCCGCTAAATCTGTTGAATTTATTAAATCTGGGATATTTATTATTACTACCATTTTGGTTAAATTTGTTCTTTGGGAAGCTATTTTCTTGGATGACTTTCACAGCTATCGCCCTTTCTATCGCGATTTTTAAGGATGTAATATTTTCTAATTGTAGTGTTCTCTTAAGAGAGAAAACCGTCCGTTAACGCGGCTATAAATTGCGCGCAAGCAATTTTATCCCTCATCTCATGAGAACATTCGGGGTAAGCGAGTCGAGAAAGCCTTTCTAAATCCGCGCCCAAAGTGGCCAAATCCTCCGAAATTCTGTTTCCTATTAGTGAACTGAGAATAATAAGACTGAGCCAAATGCCCTTCCCCAAATCGTAATTCCAATTTCGACTTTAAATCCTCGAATCTCAAATTCTCGATTTCAAATATCCTGTCTAAAACCAAACGCGCTTTATTCCTTAGACAAGCTGCTAAAGCTACCGTCTTGTGGGAATCATTCCATTCGTTAGCCCGCGCAATCAACTCGAATTCGCGCAAGGGAGCACTTCCGTCGTAATTGTCAGGTTTGAGTTTAAAACCGAGTTTTGGTGAATTTAAATTTGCTAAATTTAAATCCGCGTCTCGCGCTCTATTATTGGGAGAACTTAGCTGAGGATATCATTCTCGCTGTAGGCTCTCCTCCAGATGACGGAGCTCGCCGTCCCTCTCTCGGAGCTGCGCCTCGAATTCAGCGCGCATCTGCTGACGCTCCTCTCGCAGCTCGCGAATCTCCCGCATCGCAGCCTAAAGCGTGATCGCCTCCAGCGGCGGTTCCGAAGATGGAAGCGGAGTCGCTGCACGGATCCTCTTGCGCGTGGAGACACCCGTAGCGGGATCTTGTAGCTCAAAATTGGTAGCCATCTTCTCGTTTTATTGGCACAAAAACGTTGCTCGGAAAGAATCACCGCGGAGTCCGTTCTATCCCGGATGAGCCCCCAAAATGTTACGCCCGCGGCGAGGACTTCGATAGATATCGAAGTCGCGCACGAAGGGATCGGCCGCTCGTAAGTCGCGCGAAATGAATAAACACTTTTAAGAAACTAAGAACTTTAATACACAACACAGAACACTGAAACGTAACCACAGAACGTTTATACACAATAATGATAATACGGATCGGTTCATTACAAATACGCGTCCGCACAGCTTGACAGCTGGGACCAGATTCAAATGACAGACGCTGCTGTCAACAACCTCTTGACAACGCGCTTCTTCTCGTTAATCGGCGCCGTCCCGATGAACACGGACATCAGGGCCGTAACAATAACGACTTGTTATTTAGTTTACTTTTATGTTTATTTACAAATATTTACAAATATTTGATACTCTCTTGTCAAATTTTTATATGTAGATAGCAGATTGTCAGACATACAATTCTGAATTATAATACTGGACATGATGCCTCAAGTATGCTCCTAATGTGCGTAATTTTATGTATCAAGATTAATCTAATGTAGACTATACATTGCATATAGTACAAACATAGATTATATAGATATCGAAGTACTGCAATATATTTTATATTTATTTCATAGATTAATGCGTGTGTGTGTGTGTGTGTGTATTTATATACATAAGGTAATCTATTATAATCTATAAATAGATTTATCTGTGAAAGTATAACAAACAAACAAAATATTACATACAGAAATAAATTTATTTGAGGGAAAAATTATAGATACTGCATATATCTTAAGGAGACATTTTCGAAATTTTAAAATCAAATCCATTTTTTGCAAATTGAATTATATATTCATATATATTTTTTTTAAATTGATTTTATTACTTTGTTATAAAAGTATTGAAGTAAGATATTTAAAAATTTTATTTGAATAATTTAGAAGATATTTCGATTTTCTCTTACAAGGAATGACACGGAAGTGTCCTCCTCCGATTTTGATGAGCTTTCAATGTTGTTTTTTTTCTAGTTAAAAATAAGGAACATATATTTTTTTATAGGTTTTTCCATACCCATACATACAGTGATTCAAAATAACCCTATTGTCCGTGAAATGACACATTCTTGAGTCATTCTCAATTCTAAGACAATTTTTCCTTTGGCAAAATTTCGTCCGACGCTTAGTTAGTTAGTTTTGAATTATTAAAGGAAGTAATTAACTTATGACGGGTCGGATACAAGAGGCAGGCAAGGGTGACGCGATTTACCGTCAAACGCAGGTCGCCCGCTACGATCGCTACATACACACATATGCGAATACATACAGTCTGTTTGACAAAAGCATGTACGGCTAAATTTTTTCCTGAAAACCGTTAGAGGATTCGTTTCATTCACAGCAGATAGTAGGACCCTTCCCCAAAGATGCTTTAGAAAGCCTCATTGTCATTCGACCTTGGCCACAGAAGAACATATTTCACAATGAGTGCCGCGTACGTATCATGTTACGAAACTGTGTTTCTGTGTTTGCATCCGAAATGACCGAAAATGTCGTATGGAGCCGCTGCTAAATACATGAAAAAGTCGAAGGCATTTATAAGTAAGTGGGTGAAACGTTATTTCGACGTAAAAAACGTTGATGACTTGCCAGATCGTAGCTCTGTGTAAAAAACGACGAAAACGGAGGATAAAGTGATTTTACGGGTGTTTGAAAAGAATCCTCGTCTATCATTGCGTGACAGGCAAGCGATTTTGCGTAAAAAGGGTCTAAATGTGTCATGTGATACTATAAGAAGGTGTTTATTGACTCATGACATGAAATTTCGAAGCACAGTGAAGAAACCATTACTGTCCGAAAAACACGTCGAAAAAAGACTCGCTTGGGCGAAAGAAAATTTAGACCGCGATTAGGACAACGTAATTTTTTCGGACGAAGCTTCTTTTTGGGCACGTTCTTTTATTAGTCATACCTGATCTACTAGCCACACTAATAGACTCATCCAGCAGACTGTTAAACACCCGGTAAAGGTGCACGTCTGGGGCTATTTCTCAAAACAGGGATTTGGCACTTTGCATATTTTCACAGACAATTTAAACGCTGCCAAAATGGTCAAAATATATCAGAAGGCTTTATTACCATCTACTCAAAGATGGTTTATAAGGAAAAATGAAAATTGGCTACTGCAAGAGGACAATGACCCAAAACATCAGAGTCGTCTTTGTACTGCATGTTTGGAAACAAGAGAATGACGTTGAGGTACTGGATTGGCCGGCGCAGTCGCCAGATTCAAATCCCATAAAAAATGGGCACTCATGAAGTTCAAGCTCCAAGCGAAACAGATCTGGAACGTCAAGCAGCTATTTCAACAGATTCGACTCATATGGAGGTCTCCAGATTATGCTATAAAATTAGTAGAAAGTATGCCTCAGAGATGGCAATTATTAATAGGGGAGGCGACTGGACAATTTATTAATAATCGAATAGAAGCGTCGCGGTTTATGTCATGTAGTATGTGTGTATTTTTTTCAATGCCCTATCCCAAATAGTTTTCGGATTTCGCCGTACACGCTCTTGTCAAACAAACTATAATTCTCATTCTCTCTCTCTCTCCCCTTCCTCCCTCTCTCTCTCTCATTTGTTTACTCACTTGAAGTTATTATTATTCTTATTTAAATTATTATTTACTTTTTATTATTATACATTTTCACTTTAATTATTATTATTTTTTATATTGTACTGTTTTTGTTTTTTACGAGAGAGGAGAAAATGCATTTTATGCATACTCACAGGCCGGTCCGGTAAGTTATGTGCGACTCGAGTACCAAGTCGAATTACTAACTCGGTACTCCCTACCCACTAAAAACCCCTCTCTTTCGCGAATTTTCTCTAACACTGTTTATTTGACATCCCGAAATTTGTTTTCATACAATACCAAAGAATAGTTATTATCTTGTTCGATACATTGCTGTAATTTCTTAAGAAATGAATTTTCCAACAGATCATACTTTCACTCAAATTGAACATAGATATCACATTTTAAGGAACAAAAATCCACACTAAATAATTAATTGATTCTTTTTTCTTTTGTAAACTGTATTTTTTTATAAACTTCAACATAATCACATTCATTCACTCATTCGATAAGACGAGAAATTTACCAATGTCTCTATCACTAATCACTATCAATCACTGTCGAATAATCACT